CCGTGCCATCAGGGGAACCTGAGAATGCAGCCGGTGTTTCTGCCAGCTGACCATAGAGCTGATTGGAGACCAGAATGGTGCCAATCATCTCTATAGTCTAAGAATTCGGAAGCTACAAGCATTTCATCACTTCAGTTTTCGCAGGATATAAACAGCGCCATTTGTAAATTGGGAAAGCATCTGATCACACCGATTTTTGGTTTGATTAGATAATGTAAGGGCAGAGGAGATATCTAAAGTCTGATAGACCCCAGATTTCTCAAAAAAGAATATATGACAATGCCCATGAAGTTATAGGGGTTATTTGCATTCCCTGTTATAGCATTAAAAGTGATTAAAAAAAAAAATGAAAAGGTACAATGTAAAAAAAAAAAAAAAAAAAAAATAAAAATAACTAAAAAAAAAAAAAAAAAAAAATTGCCCCTCCCATGCGCGCCCACCTGTGTGCACAAGCCTTGACCCTGTGCCGTTATGTAAGCAGCGGTTGCGCCAAGCATGTGAGGTATTGCCATGAACGTCAGATCAAGGGCAGTAATTCTAACACTAGACCTCCTCTGTAAATCTAAAATGGTGGCTTTTTTTAAAGCGCTGCCTATGGATATTAAAAATGTTTGCAGTTTGTCGCCATTGAACGGGGCATGTGCAGTTTTAAAGCATGTCATGTTTGGTATCTATTTACTTGGCATACCATTATCTTTTATATTTTACAAAACAATTGGCCAATATATTGTGTTTTTGTGCATTAACCTCCTTGGCGGTATTCCCGAGTGTAGCTCGGGGTAACATTTCAGTACCAAGAGCGGTAACCCCGAGCTACACTCGGGAATACCATGTGGCACTGCTCCGTGCTACTGCATTTGTTCTTCACTTACCTTACCCTGCGCTCCCACGATGTGTCCCCTGCAGCGTCTCCGGCCATCTCCTTCGGCCGATGCCGGCATCCAGCTTCTGTGTCCTGTCCCTGTGAGGTCGGGACGTAAAGGCGCCGCCGGCGGCGGGAAATTTAAAAATTTTAAATGTTTTTTTTTTTTTTTTTTTTTTTTTTTTTTTTACATAGTAAAACATTGCTGTCTAACCAATTTCACATACATTTTGTCCCTAGTGCTTTAATCCTGCGCCCCGCCTGCATTTTGTCTGTTCTTTCTGCCTGGAAACTGAGAAACGTCCATGGCGTCCAAAAAGTGTCCCTTTAGGTCAAAAGCGGGTTTAGATCAGCTAGAGAACAGCGATAGTAAATCAGAACCACTTGCAAATTGAGTGTTAATAATTCGTGGGGAAAGTCGTCATCAGACACTGAAAACAATTCTGTGACTTTGCTCAGTGATGTGCAAACTTGGCGCTCTATTTCAAATTTCAGTGTTTTCGGTTTGATTATATTATTGAATTAAATGTATTTTTATTATTATGTCATTTTTATTATGGGTCATTTTTTTATGATTATTAAATTATAATTTATGATTTTGTGTTTCAAATTTTATCATACCCGGGATGTTTAATAGACTCTTGTTCGGACAGATTTCAGTGAGTTATTCCTAAAAATTACAGGCCTACAATAAAAAAAACTACATATTTCCATGCAAAATAATGCAGCTACACTCAGCACCAAAAAAATAACATACCGCTAGGGAGGTTAAAAGTAAAACGTTTTTTTTTTTTTTTTTTTTTAAATTGCTTTTGAAAAATCGCTGCGTCAGTACTATGTGCCATAAAAAATTGTAGCACCCACCATTTTATTCACTAGGGTGTCTGCTTTAAAAAAAATATATAATGTTTGGGGGTTTAAATTAATTTCCTAGCAAAAAATACTGATTTTTTTTTTTTTTTTTTTTTTTTTTTTTTTTTTTTTTTTTTTTTTCATGTGAACAAAATGGCTTGGTCTTCAGGTGGTTAGAAGAGTGAATGATGTGTGGCATAAACTTCAAATACTGGGCATAAAACGCCCCCACCCCCCAAAATGTTTTTTGGAAAGTAGTCACCCCAAACTATTTGCTAAGAGGAATGTTGAATCAATAGAAGAATTTATTTTTTTTACCACAAGTTTTTGGAAAATTACAAAAAAAATATATATTTTTTTTTTTTCTACACAAAATTGTCACTTAAATGATTTACTGCTCACACATGCCATGGTTATATGTGGAATTACTCCCCAAAATACATTTTGCTACTTCTCCCGAGTATGGGGGTACCATATGTGAGAGACTTTTTGGCAGTCTAGCCAAGTACAGGACCCCAAAATCCAATAAGCACCTTCAGGCTTTTAAAGGGCTTTATTTCCTCATTATATTCCAGACTACCTATCACAGTTTCGGAGGCCATAAAATGCCAGGATAGCACCTAACCCCCCCCCAAATTACCCCTTTTGGAAAGTAGACGCCCACAAGGAATTTGATAAAAAGCACGGTAAGTATTTCGCAGATCTCGTTTGTTGCCACAAGTTTTTGGAAAATGAAGAAAGAAAACAAAAAAAAAATTTTTCTTTTTTTTTATATTTCAAAACCTTGTGAGAAAAAAATGAAATCTGCAAAATACTCACCATGCCTCTTTTTAAATTCCTTGGGGTGTCTACTTTCCAGAAAGGGGTCATTTGGGGGGGTTTGGGGCTATCCTGGCATGTCAGGGCCTTCGAAACTGTGATAGGTAGTGAGGAAGTGTAATGAGGAAGTTACACACCTTTCAGGCTTTTAAAGTGGTCATTGGATTTCAGGCTCCTGTATGTGGCTAGGCTCCCAAAAAGTCTCACATGTGGTATCCCCATACTCAGTAGAAGTAGCAGAATGTATTTTGGGGTGTAATTCCACATATACCCATGGCTTGTGCGAGAAATAAATCATTTAAATGACAACTTCGTGTAAAAAAAAAAAAAAAAAAAAAAAAACGTTTTTGTCTTTTTCCAGAAACTTGTGGAAAAAAATAAATCTTCCATGGACTCAATATGCCTCTCAGCAGATAGCTTAGGGTGTCTAATTTCCGAAAAGGGGTCATTTGAGGGTGTTTGTACTATCCTGGTATTTTAGCACCTCAAGAAATGTGATGGGCAGTCAAAGTAAAAGCTATGTAAATTCCATTATCTATACCATAGTTTGTAGACGCTATAACTTTCACAAAAAGCAATCAATATATACTTATTGGGATTTTTTTAACCAAAAACATGTAGCAGAATACATTTTGGCCTAAATTTATGACGAAATTTTAGTTTTTTTAGATTTTTTTTTGACCAAAATGAGAAAAATTTAAAAAAAAAAAATAAAATTTTTTTTCAACTTTTTTTCTGGTTATAGCGCCAAAAATAAAAAGTGCACAGGTGATCAAATACCACCAAAAGAATGCTCTATTTGTGTTAAAAGAGAGGACATAAATTTCATGATTGCATGCGCGCAATTGTCCGGTAAAATAGCGCAGCGCTGTATAGCAAAAAAATATCGTAAATTGCAGTATCTATACCATAGTTTGTAGACGCTATAACTTTCACACAAAGCAATGAATATACACTTATTGGGATTTTTTTTACCAAAAACATGTAGCAAAATACATTTTGGCCTAAATTTATAACTAACTTTGAGTTTACTATATATTTTTTATTTTAAAAAATCGTTTTTATTCAAAATATTTGGTCTTTTTTTGTTTATAGCGTGAAAAATAAAAAGATGATCAAATACCACCGAAAGAAAGCTCTATTTGTGTGAAAAAAGGACGTAAATTTCGTTTAGGTGCAGCATTGCATGACCGCGCAGTTATCAGTTGAATTAGTGCAGCGCCGAGTAGCAAAAAGAGGCCTGGTCCTTAACCTCCCTAGCGGTATGATTATTTCATATTTTTTGGTGCTGAAAGCGGTACCATTATTTTGCATGGAAATATGTAGTCTTTTTTTATTGTAGGCTGTAATTTTTAGGAATAACTCACTGAAATCTGTCCAAACAAGAGTCTATTAAACATCCCGGGTATGATTAAATTTGAAAAACGAAATCATAAATTATAACTTAATAAATAATCATAAAAATAATAATAATAATACATTTAATTCAATAATATAATCAAACCGAAAACACTGAAATTTGAAATAGAGCGCCAAGTTCGTACATTGCTGAGCAAAGTCGCAAAATTGTTTTCAGTGTCTGATGATGAATTTCCCCACGAATCATCACTCAATTCTGCAAGTGGTTCTGATTTACTATCGCTGTTCTCTAGCTGATCTAAACCCGCTTTTGACCTAAAGGGACACTTTTTGGACGCCATGGACTTTTCTCAGTTTCCAGGCAGAAAGAACAGACAAAATGCAGACAGGGCACAGGACAAAGCACTAGGGACAATATGTATGTGACATATATGATATGTATCTTTCCTCATAGCTGAGCTCCTCCATGCCTCTTATCAGTTTGGTTGCCCTTCTCTGTACTTTCTCCAGTTCCCCAATGTTCTTTTTCTGAATTGGTACCCAACAGTCAACTGCATATTCCAGATGAGGTGTTACTAATGATTTGTACAGGGGTAATATGATATCTCTCTCTCTGGAGTCTATGCCTCTTAATACAAGAGGATTTTGCTCGCTTTACAAACTGCAGCTTGGCATTGCATGCCATTATTAAGCTTGTGATCTACCAGAACTCCCAGATCCTTCACCACCATTGATTCCCCCAGTTGTACTCCCTCTAGTATGTATGATACATGCATATTCTTAACCCCCAAGTGCATAACCTTACATTTATCAACATTAAACCTCATTTGCCACATAGTTGCCCAATTAAACAGTGCATTGAGGTCGGCTTGTAAGTTGTAGACATCCTGTAAGGACGTTATTCCAAGGCACAGCTCGGTGGCATATGCAAAGACTGAAATGGGATTTTAATTTTTAGTACAATGGGGGAGGTTGCTGCACTGACATCGCTTGTGTTTGTACAGCAATCTCAGGTTTTTTGTTTTGTTTTTTCATTCATCCCATTGGGTTGAATGAAAATAAAATTCTTGTGTGTTCCAGGCTTAACCAGGTTAACATTTTCATTTACCTTTTGTAATTTGGCCTGCTGTACCTTCACAATTTCTTCGTGTAGGGTTCTCTGATGAGTGAAATGGAGCGCCTCTGTGTCCATATAAAAAGTTAGAGAGTATCCCATATAGTATTGGTCTGTAAAATCAGGAATATGCATGAATATATTGACACAAGCAATATATTTAGCAAAGATCTGTACTTGATATAATTTGACAAAGAAACAGAGTAGATTATAAAATTGTTACAGGCTATTGGAAGAACACCAAGAATTTGACCAATGTAAAATGAAACTGCATAACTGAATACTTTCTATAGACACAATCGCTAAATATTCTGGAAAAATTCTACAGTAGAGTTATTTTAAATGTAATATCTCTTAAGTCACACTAGGACCCAATCACACTATGGGGTTGAGGAAACATTGGTCAACAAATGTTTAGATTGTAAACTCCATGAGCAGCGCCCTTCAATTTCTTCTGTATCAAACTGTATTGTAATTGTACTGTCCCCCTTATTTTGTAAAGTGCTGTGTAAACTGTTGGAGCTATATAAATCCTGTATGATTATTATAATAAATGCATTAGTGCAATGGAGTACCATTTATTCTAAATAGCACCTCAATGCATCTTGTGATGGATTTGCATTGTAATGGTGTTTAATTTTTTACATCAAAATTCAATCTAGTTTTAGTCAGTCTTTTGGCTAAAATTACGTTTTAGTTGCATTTTGGTCATCTGAATTGTTTACCCTCTTCCTGACCGTGCTATAGCCAAAAGACAGCTACAACGTGGTCATCCAGTGCTGGAAGGGCATCTATAGACGTCCTCCCAGAACCACGCCCCCTGTGCTTCCCCTGGGCCACGCATTTGGCATGCTCTGTGACCGCTGTGTCCTTCGGAAACATCCAAAGAACAGAGGTATACCACTCAGGCAAACAATCCAGATCAATCCACAACAGGTGCAGGCTCTGGCTTGCCACTACACACGATGCAACAGGAAGGATCAGCCGCACATCGGAGGATTGATGAATATAATGTATATTTATTGATCCATAGGACACACAAAACACCAGGACATGAATAGAGGACCTGTTAACACATTTAACACGATCTCGTGCCTAATCATAACTGACCGTGCGTGCTATAGCCAAAAGACAGTTTACAGTATGGTCATCCAGTTTCCCCTGGGCCACGCATTTGGCGTGCTCTGTGATCGCTGTGTCCTTCGGAAACGTGATCACAGATCACAGTAAAAGGCCAATCAGTGTCCCTTTACCATGTGATCAGTTGTTGTGTCTAATCAGAGCTGATCACATTGTAAACAGACTAGCCAATTATTGGCAGTCCTTTCCTCATGCGCTGTCAGTGTGAGGAGAGGAACGCCCGTAACCGACAATTCTGACAGGACATTTACACTGATAATCATTAGTGCCCATCCGTGCAGCTTACCAGAGCCCATCCACGCAGCCTCAATGCACATCAGTGAAGGACAAAAATTACTTATTTGCAAAATTTTATAACAAACTAAATTTTTTTTTTTTTTTTTTTTTTTAATTTTTGGTCTTTTTGTTTAACGAAAAACAAACCACAACCCAGTGGTGATTAAATATCACCAAAAGAAAGCTCTGTGTCTCCAAAAATGCTAAAAATGTCATGGGTACAGTGTTGCATGACCTCACAATTGTCATTCAAAGTGCAACAGGACTGAAAGCTGAAAATTGGCCTGGGCAGGAAGGGAATGAATGTGCCCAGTATTGAAGTGGTTAAGTTTTAGACTGGGACCACACTAATGCGGTGTGGGACACCGTATGTAATTCGCACAGGAATCGTACTGCATTTCTGTGGGAATTACATGCAATGTCTGTGCGGTGCGACTTGAGCCACACATTTTGTATGGCTCAAATCACATCCGCACCAAGAGATGCAGGACCCTTTTTTTTACCTGCACGTGATTTCTGGCAATCATATCACGTTTTGCGATCTGTTTTGGGGTGTCATTACATTTACCATTGACACACACTCCAGATCGCATGAATGTCATGTGATTGCAATGTGGTGCAGGAAACGCACAGGATTTGCAGCATTTCCCGCACCGCATTAGTTTGAACCCAGTCTTTGTTGTATTTTAGTAGACTAAAATCTCCAGTATCATTAACAAAAACAAAAAACTGTAAACTCTGTTGGCTGTAATGTAATGCCACTGCATATATTACCTGAATATAAAAACTTTAAAACTCCATCCACCCTTTTTTTTTTTTTTTTCTGCCAATTCCCTTGGCAGAAAAAAAAACACATTTTTTTGTACACAGTTTAGGTGTGCGTTTTTTGTTTGAAGCTTTCTGGCATAAAAAATGCATAACCAGAAATGTTTTCCTGCCTCTAATCGTCCTAATGTGCATGGACCCATAGAATAACACTGAGCTGCTTCTACAGGCAAAACACACAACTCCTGTAGAAGCAGATTTTTAACCACTTCCCGACCGGCCGTTGCATATAAACGGCCGGGCGGTGGCACTGCAGGGTCGGGTGGCCGTTTATAAACGGCCTCCCCACACCCTGCTTGTGCACGCTCCCTGGGAGCGTGCAGCACCGCGATCCGGTGCCCGCTGTGTCCTCCGGACACAGTGAATCACCGATCGTCAGACGGGACCACTGTACGAGGTCCCGATCATGTGATCACCGATTGGCCAATCAGTGATCACATGCAAAGTAGTAAGCAAGATGTCACTTGTGACATCATTGCTTACTACGTGTGAAATCTGTGAATGATCACAGAGGTCACATGGTACAAGGCTATTCACAGCAGCCTTGTACCATGTGACAAGCTGTGACCAATCACAGCTCACTCAGTACTTCTCAATGAGTGCAAGAATGCAGACAGAGAGAGAGAGAGAAATGATTGCTTTTACATCCTATATGGGTGTAAAAGCAATCGGTGTTAAAAAAAAAAAAAAAAAAAAAAAAATCTTAATCACCCCCCACAAGTAGTACAGTGTCACCATGGTGACACTGTACTGCTAGGGTGACAGTATGTAAAAAAAATATAAAAAAATAAAATAATGTTTAAAAAATTATAATTTTTGGTTAAACTAATTTGGATTTTTTTTTTTTTTTTTTTTTACTAAAAAGATAACGGAATAAATTTTGGCCAAGATTTGATGATATTATTTATTTGCAAAATTTAAAAAAAAAACACTTTTTTTTAAAAATTTTTTTTAGACTTTTTCATTTACATGGCAAAAAAAATAAAAATCCCAGCGGTGAATAAATACCACCAAAATAAAGCTTTATCTGTCTCCAAAAAATGGTAAAAAATTCATTTGGGTACAGTGTTGCATGACCGCGCAATTGTCATTCAAAGTGTGATAGCGCTGAAAGCTGAAAATTGCCCTGGTCAGGAAGGGGTAAAAGTGTCCGGTCTGGAAGTGGTTAAGCCAGTGTGCATGGAGCCTTACAGTTCTTCATAAAGAAAACATGTTTTAAGTAGCATCTTTATATATAAAACCAAGTTTCATAAACAAACAAGAATATTGCTTTTGACCATTGTTAATTTTTACATCAAATTTCGTTTTGGTCGAATTTTAGTAATCTGAATTGAAACTGAATTATATTTTCATTTACTTTTCTTCACTGAAAACATGTAGCTGATGACAACTGACATGAATATTTTCATCTGCGAAATTAACAGTGTGTGTTGCAGTGCAGCTCAAAGTGCGACAACACACTAACATGCATGCACCATTTTTGTGGCGGCACATATAACTACAACACCTGTCAGTGAATTGCTGTGGTGTTCTACAATGCATGTCCATCAGAAGGTGTGTTGAAATGCCATTCAGCATTCATTCATTTAGAGCACATGAACATAAATTGTATTGCACTAAAGCATTTAAGGAGTGTTACTGAATGTGGCTGTAAAACAGTGCCACACGTATTACCATAAAACAATCAGGGGAAGAGGCCCTAAAACAAAGTGACAAAGACAAACATTCAACATGTGAATTTGCAGCGAAGTCATTAATGTGTGCACAGTATCATGATAAACAAAACATTGCTTACACAGACTGAGCATTTGCGTCTTCTACAAAGTTAAGCTCCCGGGCAAGAAACGATCTATCCAGTGGAACATCAGACAGTCCAGTTTCTGTAAACCAAAGATAATTACACAGTAAATGTTGTTCATGGTTAATGGACAGGCAGAAGAGTCATATATTGCTGGGCATGTGCAAGATTGCACCAAACTAACTTGTAAATACAGTTATTGCCAAATTGTGTCTTGGTTAAGTTTTGACAAAACAATCTTGGTTAACCCCATAACTGATGCATTTTCAACTACAATTCTGTTTATTAAAGCACTGTTGGAATTACACAGAAGATACAACTTGGAACAGATTTTATCACATTCAAGATTCCTAAAACTTTGAAAAGAAAAATTCTTCAATTTTATGCAAAGTTTGGATAGCGTCTGCAACCTTTAAAGTAAATAATTGTTGATTTAAAAAAAATAAACCCTGTAAAATATAAATATTGATACTTGCCTACCTTAAAAGAAGTACAGCCAAAGCTCTTTTGACCCTACTTCTCCAATGGATCACAGGAGTGCACTTGGTTCTGCACACCTGTGACCCATATTCAGCCAAAAGTGGGCTAAAGCCCGCTGTCTGTTGTCACAGAGCCAGTCCAGGCTCTGCCGAGATCCTGACAAAAACATCAGGATCTGTCCACATGCCTGACCTGCAGCTGTCCCAGCCTCTCAGCGTGTCGCTGGAAGACAAAGCCAGCAGCTCCTGCCTTCTCCACAGTTCCTGGCGTAGAGCCAGCAAGGGACAGCAGCATCTGATTGATGCTGCACCCTACACATGTGAGTATGTATGTTTGTTTTTTTTGGTATCACATACGTCTCTTAATTGCTGAATGGTAATAACCTATCCCCAAAGAGATAAAAAAATAATTCATAATGCATCCCTCTGATTTTAAAGAAACCTAAAAAAACCTGCTTGCTGTAACTAAGTGTGATCTCGAGTTTGGCTTCAATTTGTTAGTGTATTTAAATCTGCTAGTACATATAACACACCCCTCCCCCAGAAGCCACTACATTTTAGCAATTGGTAAACTGCAACATATTACATTTTTGGTCTTGGGTTTAATACTGCTGCAAAAGGTGTGGACCCCACGAATAGAGTATGCTCTTCCTCTGTTGCCCATAGAGAGTTATGCCTCTTTATAGGTGCTCAGCCTTGGGGCCCTGGGTTTGGGTGTGCTCAACATCCTACATACACGCACACACAATCTTCTTCCTGTTCCATTTTCTTCTAGCTATTCTTTTCAGCTCTTTGCTACAGCCATGCCTTCTTTTTCCTTTTTTCTCTTACTCCTGTCTCAGTACAGACTTTTGTTATTTGCTCAGATTTGGTGCTAGAATTTGAACAATGTTTTGTTGGCTGACATAATCTGGCTCAGTCAGTCATTGTCCACTTTACATTGTAGGCTATTTATTTAGAGCATTTGCTAATTTTTAGCCATGCCTCTGGACAGTCTTGTATTAATCGGCAGTTACATTTTCACTGGTTAATAACATTGTTTAATCAATATGCTTATTCATGCTATGATCTGTATTTTGCACTTTCAACACATTTTTATTGAAATGTTGCAAGACACACAAGTGCAGCGACAGTGAAAATTAACAGAAGTCACAGAATAAGATTCTAAGCAACATTTACAGTATCACTAGGACCCATAAGTTTTACTTAGGTTTTAGCTACTCTTCTAAGGGATCTATCTGGAGGGGAGTGGCAAAATATGACAGATAAAAATTGAAAAGCACATTAAACCATAATACCCCGGTCACATCAGGTGTGACTTGGAATGCGATTTGCATGCCATGCGTCTTGCAAATCATATGCCAAGTCGAACCCTATTGTCCACAATTTAGAGCGGTCAAATCGGTGCACCGATTTTCTAAAGTAGTACATATACTACTTTAGGGTGATTTTTGCATAGACATCTGTATCAGATGCCTTGCAAATCGCACTTCAAATTGGCATCTCACCCGACTTTGAAATCGTGTGAATTCATTGTATCGCACGATTTCAAAGTCGAGCTTGATGTAACTGGGGTGTAACTCTGAGTTTGTTTTCTAGGATGTTGGAGGGAATCAAGCTTCTTATGAAGTCATTTTGGCAGACTGACAAAGTGTGAATAAACCCTGTTAAAAAAAAAAAAAAAAAAAAAAAAAATTGAGAACTTTGGGATTTTTTTTTTTTATATTATACTTGAGTCACCACTGTGTACTCTGCCCTCCTCCCAAACCCCCATCCCCCTGCCCTCACAGAAGTGCTGCGCTGTGGAGGGAGTAGGAGGCTCAGGCTCTCAGCATATCGCTAAGAGGCTGAGCCAGGTACTGAGTGGATCTCAACCATATGGTTGCGATCTTTCCCCAGCATGGACTGGCTAAGAAATGTCAGCCAACAGTGGACTTTAGCCCATTGTCTGCTGAAAACGGTCAGACAAGCAGAAGGTACTACACTCCTGTGATCTACAGGAGAAGTACAGCCAAATGAGCTTTGGCTGTACTTCTCCTTTTTAAGATATGTGTTTGAAAATACACTATACTTTCCCCTTCGATGATGTCTTAGAAACTCAAAGTGACTGCTGCCAGAAAAAGAAAAAGGCACCCTTTTAAAAGAAGATTATTAATAGTGGTCCAGAAGGTAGTGACAAAATTGTTAGCATAAGACATTTCTGGGTTTGTCAGATGCCCAATTCCTCTGCTGCAGCTATGTTTAACAAGATACACTTGGTATCTCCAAACAACCATATGTCTAAAGAACTGCCCTACCACCAATAAATATGGACACCGTTAATATCTACAACCACGTATGTGCATACTTTGTGAATACTGATCAGAGAACGTTGCATGAAACATACAGCATGGCCTAAAAAGAATGAAAATAAACTCCCATATTGCCTCCAGCCAAAGATGGCTAGGAGACTTTAAACGCAGATGTAAAAGTCTGAAAAAAAAAAAAAACAGATCACAAATCAAAAAAAGAAAAAAAAAATGAAGATGAGGAGCAGGTACCAAGTGCACCATCAAGTAAAACTCCCTCCTAGCAGAATAAAGGAATACCAAGCTGTGACTCTTCTAGTAGCTCAAGGCACCAACCCCACAAAGAGATAAAAAGGTATTACTAACGCCCAACGCTCGCGACATGCAGTTCCAGGTGCCGGGCAGGTAGGTTTTTAAAAAAAAAAAAAAAAAAAAAAAGCATGAGCAAATGAATGCTGAAACTCCTGCGCTGGACGATGAGCTCCACAATGTCAGTAACCCCACATGAAGTACTTTTTGGGAATGCAAGCCTTGCTGCCCTCAACGGACCAGGGAAATCCAAAGAAGCTGTGTGCAAAGAACAGCCCTCTGAGGAAGAGGTTCTGCCTCAAAACGCATCAGATTTGGAGGCCTACAGTCCCCCAACAGCCACCATCTAGGGAGACTGGACAATGCTGTCTTTTTTGTGATGTGCCTTTTGATTTTATTCTTTTGTGAGTATAATACTTTTTATTCAATAAATCTCATTTTTTAGAAGGTAATGCAGTAGGCCTGTGCGCCCTGTTTGTTTCTTTGCACAGTGTTTGTTTTTTTTTTTTTAAACCTTTAGCCCTGCTGCGGGCAAGCAGCAGGGCTCACTTGTCAGGTGGAAGAATTCAGGCGGCAGCGCTGCTACCGATTGCTTCCACACAGCCCACAGTGCCAGTCTCTGCCCCCCACCCTGTGTACTTCCGTCCTGCCAGCTATGTCTCCTGGGCTCTGCTTGCCCATTCGCAGGCCCGGGACCAGGTCAGGTGCCAGTGTGTAGAGGGGAGGGGTGAGAGCGGACACGTTCCCTGCCCTACTCTTTGTCCAGACCATTCAGTGAATTACAGGGGAGACACGCAGGGTCTTTTAGACCCTGCATGACTCAATAAAGAGAACCTGTCACCAAAACTCATCACATAGGGGACTTTTTGTCCCCTATGTGATGAAGAAAATTAAGTGTAAAAAAAAAAAAATAAATTTAAAATTGTAAGAAAATTAAAGTTACTCAAGCAAATAACCCCCGCCACCCTCACCTATACAAATGTAAAAGCATGCCGGGGCACCAACGCATAAAAAACATTGACTGCTATACGCGTTACATATTGCTGCGCATGCCAGAATGAGTGCAAAATTTCTATCACCAGACCCCTCCATAACACTAAACTGATGACCTATAGGGGGCTTTAAAAGCATTACCTATAGAAAATACAGGGTACTAAAGTTAGTTGCCATTTAACGAGCACAGACAAATTTAAGGTTTGAGATGTCGTATCTATTTCTTTTGCGCAATCTCATCTTTTTATATTTCACCCAAAAAAAATGGGTAATTTATTGCTTTTTTTTTTTTTTTTTTTTTTTTTGTACCCTAAAATTAAGTGTATTTTTAATTAAATTTTGCATTTCCTAGACCTTTGTGGTAATATCGTAGGACAAATTGGAACTGCCACTTTTTGTACTCTAGGGTCTCTGCTTTCAGAATATAATTTTATATATATATATATATATATATATATATATATATATATATATATATTTTTTTTTTTTTTTTTTTTTTTTTTAATAGGTTTTTGTGTAATCTTCAGGCCTACAATGGATTTTTTAAATGTGTGCAAAAAGCCCAGACAACGAAAGGGATAAACGAGAGGCCTGACTCTCCCCTCTCCCGACTAGCACCCGATCGGTGCTCATTACACTGTAAGAGATATACAGTGTGACGGGAGTGACTTTTGGGGGTGGGGGGACCCCTGTATCATCTTCCCAAATTCCATGTTTAACACACCCTGTGCCTGTTAAGGGGTACAGGATGTGAATGTCTGAGTATTGTGTATTGGTGTGGTGATTGTCCTTTGTTCCCTGCCATGTGGTTGTCCATTGTTCTCTGCCATGTGCTGCATCCCATTGCTCTGTGTCTGGGTTGGGTGGGGGGGGGGGGTGTTTGTTTCCTGTAGCCCTTCCCAATGATGGGGCAGGCTAAAGTGTTTCCTGTTCCTGGTTGTGTTTCCCCACCCTGTGTATATAACTTGTGTTTGTGTAAAAATAAAGGAGTTGACTTCCTGTCTTAACAGTCTGGTGCTGTCTATTTCCTGCATGATCAGTGGGTGGTGTCCGTGGATTTGTGTTCGGACAGAGAAGCTGCAGTATAACGGAAGTACCCAAGTGTGGTCTGGGGGTCTGGTTCCATTACATTGGTGGCAGTGTTGGGATTGTGCTTCCAAGCTGTACACACATCCAAACCACCACCGGGATTCAAGATCAGGAAAGTAGGCGTCAGTCACCCCAGTGGACATATGGACCTGGCATCAGAGTTCCCAGGGCTGCTGCAGACTGTTCTTGCAACATACCCCAGGACTGTGTCTACGGATCAGTACCTGGAGCTCAGGCAGTGGATTTGGGAGGTCCTTTTGGAGAGGAGCCCTCCAGGCTGCTGGTATGGAGAAAGGCAAGTGTTATCCAACCTCAGGGGAAAGGGTCAGGGACCATCGGAAGTTATGGATGCCATTCCTGGGAGAGCGACCCCAAGAGCAATGGGTGACTGAGTTGGACAGGCTGGTCCAGCAGGAGATACAACTGGATAACAGATATCCAGAGATATCCAGAAATTCCAGAGACTGGGGATCTGATAGACTTCTCTGCTGAGAGAAATCTATCAGATCCCCAGTCTCTGGAATTTCCACTGCTGATTCTTGGGCATGCTGCCGAACATGTCTTAGCAGTTGCCTGTATGCCCTTTCCAGATGCAGTTCTTTCTTCAGCAGGTATTGCAGATCTGGCTCAAGCTCTGAGACCCCTGTGAGACCGAACATAGCCTCTCTGCCTTCTCGCAACTCCTCCCAGGGTAGGTTCTCCTTCATCGCCAAACACAAAATGATCTGTAAGGCTCTCCACAGCAATCCAGGCCCACCAAACTCATGTCCCTCAGGAGAGGCTTCTCTGCTCTCTCAAGTCACTGTCCAGCAGTATGAAAAGACCTGTTAAATGTTTGCTTTGGGTTTAATACCAAATTAAAATCTCATTATATTGCAGCTTACCAATGTGGTGGCTGCATTGGTTTTCTTTTGTAGGCTCTTTTCTATATTTTCAGCTGGTGATCTTGCTAGTAAGTGTTATTTTTCAACAGAACAAGCTGTCCTGCAGATGTAGCAGTTAGAAGGTTGGGACAAACCATTTTACCTCTGACAGAGATGTGTACAATGGTCTGCTTTTATGTAAAACCTTTATCCCAAAAAGGACCAAAAATTGTTTTGCTGTAACTGCTTATAAAGTGAGAGCTTTGGTGGGAGTTAGGTTTCAATTTGTTAGTCTATCTAAATCTGCTAGTACATCTAACACTAGCCCTCCCCCCAGACTGACAGTGCTGCTTTCCACAGGTGTTTCTGGTGCTCCTTCATCCAGAGTGTAAGCACTCTAATACAGGACATGTGCTACCGGCCAGATCACTGGGTGAAAACAGAGGGGAGAAAAAAGAAAACTAACACAGCCACCAACGCTAATGATTGGTATACAACATTGCATTTTTGGTTTTTAATTTAATACCTCTTTAAGGTTTAGCCCATTAGCATTACTCTATTATTTAACATTCTCCTTTGCAGCATCAATCTGCCACCAAACTGATAGGCCCACTCTATTTGCCTTACCTGCAGTTAGAACAGATGATGTGTATTTGTACTTATTGAAATCCAAATATTCCCTGATCATTTCATTTATGAGAAGGTTCTCATGTGACAAAGCTGGGCGTGGCTCACTCTGATCATCCAAAGCTGTAAAAACTTCAGCACGGATCTGTGCTTTAAGCTGTGCTAACACACCTCTCTTGTCCAATGTATCTGTCAGGACTACAGAAATAAACACACACAATGAAAAACAGGTAAAAGCAGTTTTTTTCCTGAAATGTAAAAGAAATGAATAGTTATTTATACCAACTCTTTAAAGAAGACCTAAGTATATTCATTATAGTGCCTGTGCAGTGGAGTTTACAGTCTAGACAATGAAAGGATAAGTGTGCTTCTTTTTACTCCCCCACCTTTTATGTACCCTATGCCAACCTCCAACTCTCCCCTGTGTCTGCATTGTGCTTCCCATGGTGTTGTGTTCCAAGCGTCTCTGGCTTGAAGAGAAGACCTTGAGTAGAACTGTATGTCCACATATTATCTTCACTGCAGGGGGTGTTTTTTTTTCCCCCTCAAGCCCAAGTTGAAAAGGTATGGACAAAGGCAATCAGCAATAAGAAAGCAGAAATAAAACGAAGAGGAACACATACAATGCATTTCTGGCTATTGCAGGAAATAAAAAACATCTTTGTTCAACGGGTCTGTGCTACAAATTCCCATCCAATAAGTGGAAGGATGATCAAGTGCTCGAGCCAGGACACATACTGTACATACCAACCAACATCAGACCACAAGTAAACGTCCGGCACCAAAGCAACTCAGAGTAAAATAATGTAACCTTTTTTTTTTTTTTAATCCATCTAGACCTAAAAATCAATTCCTACAGCAAGATTAAAAACGTGTGTGAAAAAAAAATTGGGATATGTCTGTTTTAAGGAAAGGCCTTTTTATAATCCCCAGAGCCATGGGAGAGAGCCAAGCAGTCCACCCACTACAGGAAGAGGCAGAGACAAGACCAGTCACTCTGCACAAGGATAGAATGCAGTAGTAAATGGTCTTGATTACAGGAAGCTCCTGAGTGGAGGAAAATTTTTCACACCTACACTACAGATCTGGAATTAGTACAAAAGCCAACCAAGACTACCTCTTGTAGTTAGAAAACATTTGCTTATCCCAGAGTAAAACTTTAAAATGGAGTACTGGTTCACCTTAAAGTGGAACTTTATGTAATTAATAAAAATGGGCAGACAGGCAGGATTTTAACACAGAAGAGACATGCTTTGTTTCTTCTGTATTAAAATTACGTACCTTCCTGTTAACCCCTGTACGTAGAAATTTGGCAATAGTGAAGCTGACAGAGCTCCCACAAATACAGGGGAGTGGCATCATCCCTGTCTAGCTAATGCAAAGTGGCTGGCAATTGATACCCGGAATCTGGCTGCTCAAAGATGTCAGCAGCCGGCGTGGAGCTCCAGGACATCACATCTATGGAAACAAGGTGAATATAGTACCACGTAATCATTGCACCTGCCATACGAGTATGCCCATTCACATGTAGAAGATGTACAGTGTGGGTGGGGGTTCACCCCCCATTCATGCCTAGCAGATGTACAGTGTGGGTGGGGTTAACACCCATTCATGTCTAGCAGATGTACAGTGTGAGTAGGGGATTGACAAAGTTAAATGTCACCGGTGCTTCCACCTTCTCTCAGTTTCAACGTCTCTGGCCCTTTGATTGGTTAAGTCCGCATGTCACACTTGGGTAGAGGAGTTGCTAGATCTTGGCACAGAACTGTACACTGAGCTGCACATACACAGCTCAATGTACACAAATACTGAGAGGTAGGAGATGCAATTAAGCCTGAAAAGCCACTGCATGCCTTCTGTCACCTGTCTGCAGATTAAAAAAAAATGTTCTGCTTTGAAATTCAACTATAACAGATCTCCCAGCAGACTAAAAAGGTAAAAAACGGGTAACAAAGCCATGTTACGAAGTGGGGTGGGGGTCACCCCCTGACCACATAAAAACATCTGTGTTAAAGACTGCATCCAGTGTCACCTCCCCCCCCCCCCCCGAGTTCCAGGTGCATCAGATATTTGCAGCTACACAAGGCAATTAGTATGAAATAAGTGTACAGCTGTAGGACTTTACACTTACTACATGGAACAAGAGTCTCATGATCAAGCATGAAACCCATGCACACCCTGAAGCAGTATTTTGCAGAGTTCAGTCTCACCGGTTTTAAGATCGGCCACAGTCGCCATACCGCTTCTTCCTCTAGCAGCCGGAATGAAAACATTGACATAGCAACCTCCGGTGGGCGGCGCATGCGCATCCTTTCACTTCATCACCAACGTATCGAAATGGCTGATAATAAACACTAGAGGGAGCACACTTTCTATGAACTAGTCTTCTATGGGGTCCTCAGCTGCCATTTTTGCGAGGACGCCTGTTCAGCTTTATCGAGACAAATTGTGAACAGTCGTTGCCCGGAATACAAAGACAAGACTCACACTTTCCTTTCCAAGTCGGCTTTGTTGTCCTTGTATTTAACACTAGTGGGCTGTACATAGTTTCAATGCTTGCTCCATACATTTTCTTTTCCAAGGAGCAGTACTCCTAATGTAAACATAGTTTTACATGTGGTCAGTTGTAAAAATTCAGGGACATGGTCTGGAAAAAAAGTAATAATAAAAAAGTAAAAATAACTAAAACACTTTTTAAAAAAGTTTTGGATAGTGTGCAGAAGGATTAGAATGCTCATCAGTTTTTTGGGGTTTTTTTTGCTGTCTGTACCCCATTAAGGTTATTCACCCTATTTGTTGTGTTTAACATTATCATTGAAAGTAAAAGAATACTAGATCTGGTGACCTGGGGGGGCCCCAAGGAATTCCCTAAATTTGCAGGGATTTCCTCTCACTTTCTGTTTGGCTACGGGACAGGAAATGAAGGGAAATCTCAATGGGACACACATAGAAGAAAAAAAGTAACAGGTTACATAATATATATTATATATATATATATATATATATATATATATATATATATATTTCTACTTTAAACCTAGAACTGTCGCTGGCTATTTGCGGTACATGTTGTACATCGCCAGACACGCTGGAATGAGAGCAATAATTCTATCACAAGACCTCCTCTAAAACTGATGACCTATAAGGGCTTTTGAAGTGTCCCCTACAGAAAATCTAGGGTACTGAAGTTTGTTGCCATTTCATAGGCTCACACCGATTTAAGGTTTGGTATGTTGGGTATCTATTTACTCGGCACAACATCATCTTTTATATTTTTTCAAAAGTCGGGATAATTATTTGCATTTATTTGCCCTAAAATTCACTTTTGCAAGTTTTGCATTTCCTAGACCTTTGCGATAATATTGTGTGACATAAAAAATTGGAAATTCCCATTCTCTAGAGTATCTGCTTTCAGAAAATATATAATGTTTGGGGGTTTTGTGTAATCTTCAGGCCTAAAATTATTTTTTTAAATGTGCACCAAAAAAATGCAAAACTGCTCTGGCAGCGAAAGGGTCAAAATATTACTAAAGGCCCATTTAAAACACATGATAAATCCCTCTGCCTCCCTTTTTTTATAAAAGATCACATATCCTCTGTTCTCAGTTGTGTAAGAGCTAGGGGAGGAGAAATAGCAGGACACGGATCTTCCCAGTGAAAGGCTGTGCAGGGGGGGGGGGGGGGTAATGTCAGGATAAGTCTGATCATTGGAGGAGAGCAAGCTGAGTACCCAGCGCAGCTAGATAACTGACCACCTGTGTTCTCTTACTTAGTGTGGTCAGTTTTTAGTAGGAAGCAGAGGTACTGGCAGGAACACCAGAGATTTCACACAAAAAAGCAATACAAAGAGAACAGGATACTTTTTCACACAAGTACATGGTACAGCAGGCACATATCAGAAATAGGAAAAGAAAGGGGGGATTTAAAAGGGACACCCATTTCTTTATGGGACTGTGGCAGGGAAAAAGGTTTTTAAGTACCACCCGCTGTAGTTATACAGTGGGGAAAATTCTAGAAGGTCAGCAGGGTTTTTAGTCCCCCCATTGGTGGGAGGTGGAGAAAAAAAACATTCATTCAAAGTTTCAAGCCCCCCCCCCCCCCCGTTATATTAATGTAATGGGGAAGCTTCTAGAAAATGGTAGTTTTTAGCCCCCCCACTACACCTGGGCATTCCTGGAAGGCAAAATTGGTTAATAAGTTGAAGAATAAGAGAGAGGAGAGAGCTATAAAAGGGGGGTTCCAATCACAGGGGAAGCAGAAACCTGGGAGGCACCTCTGTGGTGCTCCCCTCCCACCCGCCCCCTTTTTGTTGTCGCAGCCAATTATTATTGGTTGGGTCACCTTTTTTAAAGGAGGACAATTACGTATGTTTATTTGAAATAATGATGGATGGTTAGATAGGTATGGTTGATAAGTGTTTTTATATGTACAGTTTGAGTCGTAGTGACTAAGCTGGTGTTGAGCAGTATTAATTTAAGAAACAATTTTTAAAATATTATTAAGTTAATATGTACAAATAAAGAGTTATTACACCATGTATACCAATAATAAAACGGCCCAGTTAGTACCAAAAAACTAAAAGTTGTGGTCTTTTATTTTGTTAAAGAATAAAGCATACTGCCTACAGTCCCATATGAAATGTTAGGTTTACATAATCTTTAAACATGGCATTTGTAGGCATTCATGTTCAAGAGTCCATAGGTTTATTCTCTGAATACTCTACTGAGAAATTATTATTATTATTATACAGGATTTATATAGCGCCAACAGTTTGCTCAGCGCTTTACAATATAACGGGAGACAATACAGTTCCATACAAGAGGGAAAGGAGGGCCCTGCTCCTTGAAGCTTACAATCTAGGAGAGAGGGGCTAGTGGTACAAAAGGTAGTAACTGTGGGGGATGGACTGGTTGTAAGAGTAGAAGATTCCATTATTAGCTGTGGGCAGGATAGGCTTCCCTGAAGAGAGAGGTTTTCAGAGATCGCCTAAAAGTGAGCAGAGTAGGCGATAGTCTGATAAATTGGGATGGAGAGTTCCAGAAGATGGGGGAAGCTCTGGAGAAGTCCTGGAGATGAGCATGGGAGGAGGAGATGAGGGAGCTAGAGAGTAGGAGGTTGTGCGAGGAGTGGAGAGTACGGTTTGGGTGGTATTTGGAGACAAGATCGGTGATCTAATTTGGGGCAGAGTTATAAATGGCTTTATATGTTATTGTTAATGTTTTGAATTTTATCCGTTGGGCAATGGGAAGCCAGTGGAGGGATTGGCAGAGAGGGGTGGCTGATACAGAACGGTTAGTAAGGTGGATGAGTCTGGCAGCAGCATTCATGATAGACTGAACAGGGGATAGCCTGTGATTAGGTAGGTCAATGAGGAGAGAGTTACAATAGTCAAGGCAAGATATAACAAGGGAGTGAATAAGATGTGAGGGAGCATAGAATGGAAGAAGAGGGTGACCGTAGTAGTTGTGAGGGGACAGGATCCAGGGGGCAGGTAGTGAGACGGGCTTCTGAGAAAACCTTAGTGACCTCTTCAGTAGTAGCAAGGTCAAAAGAGGAAAGGGTTGAGGGAGGTTTAGTGTAAGGTATGCTAAGTGGGATGGATGTCTGTGCAGTGGCGATGCCCCAATGAATTGCGTCAATCTAGTTTTTGAAATGATTTGCAATCTTGTGAGCAGTGAGTGAGGTACTGGGTGGAGGTGGAGAAAGTAGAGAGTTAAAAGTAGAGAAGAGACGACAAGGACTGGATGACAATGTATTAATAAGAGTGACAAAGTAGGCTTGTTTGGCAGCATGGAGGGAGGAATTGTATATTAAGAATGCAGATTTATACAAGGTGAATGCTTGTTGAGATTTGGTTTTACGCCACAATCGCTCCAGTGCACGACTTAGTCGTTTAAGATTTCTGGTGTCGTCAGTCTGCCACGGTTGTAATGGTGGGGGCCTGATGCTTCGTGTTGTTAGAGGAGCAAGTGAGTCTAATGTGGATGAAAGCAAACTGTTGTAGACAGTAGTGGCCAGGTCAGGGCAGGACAGGGGAGAGATTCTGTCAGAGAGTTGGTCAGTTGCAGAGTGGAAAAGAGAAGGGTTCAAGTTGTGAATGTTTCTGCGGGTAATTGTTTGCTGCTTGGAGGGATAGGTGTTTGAAGATGAGGAGACTGTGAAGGTGATGAGATTGTGATCAGAGAGGGGAAAGGGGAAGTTTGAGAGGTTGCAGGGAGTGCAAATATGGGAGAAAACAAGGTCTAATGTATTCCCATCAGAGTGAGCGGAGGACTGTATACATTGTAATAATGCAAAAGATGAGGTTATGTTGAAGAGTTGGGATGTAGCTGGGTTGTTGACATTAATAGGGATGTTAAAATCTCTGAGAATGATAGTGGGTAGTTCAGAGGAGAGAAAGTAGGGTAGCCAGGCGGAGAAATCATCAAGAAAGTGGGACACTGGTCCAGGAGGCCGATAGATCACTGCAATCCTCAGAGAAATGGGAGAAAACAGCCGAAAGCAGCGAGTCTCAAAAGAAGAGAAGGATAGAGAGGGAGGGTTAGGGAGGACTTGAAAGGTGCTGAGTGGGGATAGAAGCAAACCAACCCTACCTCCTTTCCGACCACTGGGTCTGGGTGAGTCGGTCCAGAGGAGGCCTCCATAGGAAAGTGCTGCGGGAGAAGCAGAATCTGCTACTTGAAGCCAGGTTTCTGTAGTTGCTACTAAGTTAAGGGAGCAGGAGACAAAAAGGTCATGGACAGACAGAGCGGGCATTCCAGAGTGCACATGAAAAAGGGAGGGTGGTTTTTGGGAGCATGTGAACTGATATTAGATTAAAGGGATTGCGGCTATTCTCGGAAGAAAGAGGATGCCTGGTGTGGCGGTGAGATACTGGAGAACCAGGGTTTGGGGAGATATCCCCAGAGGTTAGGAGAAGAAGAAGGGTGAGGAAAGTAACATGGGAGCGGGATGTACACGAGTGCACATGTCTTCCAGTCCTGGTGTTTGGGTCAGCAGGAGAGTAGAGTATCAACAGGAGGTGATGAGAGCAGTAGTAGGGAGATGGTAGCAGTGACGGTGAGATGTATAAGTTTTGGGGTGGAGCAGAGGGGTAAAGAAATTAGATTTTGGGAACGCAGGATAGTAATATGAAAAGGTGGAGTAGAGGTGGCATATTAAAAGGTAGATGGAGTGGGACTCAGACTTGTAGGAAATGTTTCCCAGGGTGTCTGCTTGCAGTCCATTCAGCGTGCAGTAGAGTTTCTTGTTGTATCTTCCTGCTGCTTGAGTTATCCTGCTTTAGTTAAAC